CCTTATCGGGGTCTCTGCCGTGCCCTTTAGCCCTGAACAGCTGAGGCGGGCGGCGTAGCGTTAAAATTATAAATACAAATTTTGATATATATATATATATATATTTGTAATAATATATATATATATATCTCTCTCTCTCTCTCTCTCTTTTTTTACTTATACGTACATTGACATCGACATACGTACGAGGGACTGCACTTGCCTTTCTCACGCAGAGACTTTGAAGAACAGTCTTCCTATCCGTTTGGCCTCTGGCCAACTCTCTGCTGGGCTGGCCACGTCTGGCCTGATGAGCCTCCTCTTCGGCGTGTGCTGCTCGCTCAAAAGCCTGGCTTGGCAGACTTGGAGTGAGACGGGCGACGCTCTACCATGTCGGGGGTTCTCAAATGCTGTCCTCATACGTGTCCCACGGTCACTACTGAGCATCTGCATTTTCTGAAGTTCTCGTGCCATCTGCACTTGGTACGCCTGCGCGTTCTCGACCTTCAACGACTCATTGGATGCTCGGACCTCAGTTGAAAGCACTCAAAAGGAGCGCCCCGTTCGGTCCCTGAGCCGAGGCCCTGGCGATCTGCACCTCTTTGTACAGGCCAGCCACCCTCAGCGACACGGACATGAGTCACATGATGCCAAACCATTGCAGAAATTTCGAATAATTTCAAGAAGACGACAGCGCTCAGCAAGGCACTGGTCCTTGAGTCTCTCAATCCGCACCTGGAAAAGCATCTTAGACGCCGAAGTCTCCACTCACGTCCGCCATGCTAGATTGCCAAAAGCAAACTTGGGGGGCACCTCATTAGACGAATCGCGATCGAGCATTGCCGCCTCAGCAGTCAATGGCTTTACTGCCTATAGCGCATGGCCTTACACCTGCCATGCGCAGCTGCAATGTCTCCTCGAGTTTTTCCATCTGCGCTGGCTGCGACGAGCATGCGAGCTTTCGTGCTCATTCGTGCCCTTTTCGCACATCATGCTGAACTGCTCGCTGGCCACAGGAGCAGGGCAGATGCACTGGCCTCTACAACATCTTTTCCCGAATGGCATGCGCACGCCGGCGGCAGCATGTCATCATGGGGACTTGACTTAAAGCTTAAGAACTGTTTATTACGAGTACAGTGTCTCCAATACTCTCACTTTTTCTGCTGCCGTCTGGGAAAAGCTGGCTCGACAGATTTGCCTCGATGTTGCGATCGTGCATGTCTGCTGCCTGAGCATTGAATGACAGCGAAAAAGGACTTCTGAAAACCCGAAGAATCCCTTGGATGCCGGCTTTCAGCGGTGGTTTCGGCCTGTGTCCGAGACAGCAGCCAGGTGCCTGAAACTGAAGCAAGAAGTGATCTGCAGATCCTGCCTGGGCAGATATTGCCCTCTCAGAGCTTTCAGGCGAAGGATGCAGCCTGTGAGCTCGGCGAAACTCGAAAAGCTCAAAAGGAGTCGCACTGGGCTCCTGGGCATCTCCTGTCTCCCAGCCACGGCCGGACTTGAAGTTCTTGACCTGGTCTTGCAGTCTTGCACAGGCCACAGACATTCGGAGTTCAAGTGCCGGAACTCTTCAGGCGCCTCCAGAGGTCCTGCGGCTTTGACGGCCGGACTTTGGAGCAGAGCCGTGCGCCGCAGAAACTGGCAAGGATCTTTGAGAAAACTGAAGAGGGGCGGGCAGGCCGGCAAGCAGTGCATCACATTTCATCTCTACGCTAAATAGGGACACTGACCATGCAACAGCATTGGCCCTCGATCTGTGGCAGGTGGTATAGCAATTCTGCGGGGACAAGCAATTCTACCAGTGCTTTCGGCACGAATATCCAATCAGTCTCCTGTGCGCATTCAAACTCGGTACTCCGATCCGGCAAAAGTGCTTAGGTTGTCGTCGTCTTTGGGTTAATGATACGACTGGCAAACGCTTGCGACGTTCTCAGGCTAGGTGGACGAGAGAGGCAGCGGCTCGTTTTCCTTTGGCCTGTGGCGGTGACGTCTGTCGAGCGTTGCCGACTAGGATCAGATTGACAGTGCACGTCTAGATTCTGACCTCGTTGGTCGGTTCGGATGAGGGCATCCAGAATCGCTAGCGGGAGCCAGTGCTGGCTTTTACTACCCGCTGAGATGAGACGGCACGCGCGAGCTGCCATCATACGCCTTGTCAAGCACAAAGCATACGGCATATGGCCATATTGGTGGTGAGACCTTTTTTCCCATCTCCAAAAGTCAGAGTCAAGTCAATTTGCTGTTCGTTGTTGCTCAGCCGTGAACTTTCCTCTTGGTGCCCCTCTGCGGGAGATCTGCCCGAAGGGCTTCGAGCGCCTGGCTACGCTTCTCCTTGGAGGAGCACTTAGCACTTGAGAAGACGTTCGGGTCGAGATACAGGAAAAGACCACCGCCCTTGGCTGGAACAAGAAGGCTGGGTCCTGCATCAGAAACAACACTTTCTGCTGGGCCCGAACCGAAGTCCAAGAGAGGACGTTTAGATGAGTTGTTGACTGCCAGCTTCATGTCAACAGTCTTGTTGTGGATTTCCTGCATGAGGGTGTGTTCCATCTTTTTCTCGCAGGCACCATTCAGTAGTTGCCAGCGTGCCTTCTGTGCCTCTAGTGAGCCTTCACGTTTGGAGAGGCACTCATGCAACTGACTGGCAATTTCCGGGAGCGTCCGAAGCTTCAGGTCCGATATGAGGATGCTTGTGAAGGTCAGGCCACCGCCCATTAGTTGGTTTGCTGGAAGCCCCAGCGCCTTTCGCACGTCTAGCAAGAACATCATCTGAACCATGCCTTTTGCATCTGCAGGAAGAATGTGCTTGCCCAAAGTCATCAAAAGGTATGCGCAGAATGCCTCCTGTGTCGTGACCCACTTGTCCTGACCCGGCTGTACTTCGGTCGGCGTGGCCTCATCCTTGATAACTGCCAGTTCCTCCTCCGAGAAATAAACTCGGTGCCTGTTCAAGCCCAGTCTGGTGTGCAGAAAGAGGGTGTCGACAACAGGGGCAAGCACTGGCACCAGAATCCCAACCAGGCCCATGAACCAAGAGTTGGTCAGCTGCTTGCCGATCTCTTTCTGGGCGAGTTCCTGCGTTCTGCTTTCATCAGGGATAAGCTCCTCCATCTTCTCCCTACTCGTGCATGGTGCTGTCGCTGTATCTCCCCGCGCGAGGCTTGCCCAAAAAGACAGAAACGTCCAGGCGGAACTTCCGTCCAACAGCATGTGTGAGCGACAGAACGCCAATATTCCGCTTCCATCCTGGAAAAGGGTCAGCTTCACAGTCATCAACGGTTCACGACCGGCCCGAACTGCTGGGGGTCGGCAGTAAATTGCGAAGTCTGGGAGCCTGAACTCTTCGACAAAGTCTGGGGCAACCTTTTCTGAGCTTTGAACAATGGAGAAAGGAACACCTTCACCATTCAGAACTACCTCGTATCCGTCTTCAGTGCTGCGAAGTCTTCCGGCCATCATGGGAACAGCCGTCAAAGCCTTTCCCAAGGACCTCTTCAATTTTGACACGTCCACGCTTGAGTAGCGCATTGCAATGGCTGGATAAGTCGCGAAAGGCAATGGCATCATGCCAAACATGCGATCTCCAGCCCGCAGCTTCACTATCTCGGGCTCTTCTGTACACGCTGCAGCCTGACCATCGGGCCGGATGATCTCAACTTTCTGTTCGAGGACATCGAGTGGGCCGCGTAGCCCTTGAGAACATCCATGCAATGCATTCCAGGCCATGGCTGAAAGCTTTCGAGCTTTCCGATTGCGGACCCTCTGTGCCGAAAACTGTTCAGGGACACAGCCTCCACATCGCGCTGCAAAACAGATCTTTGACACCCTGCAGCGAAAGACACCTGAGCCCGGAGTTCATGCGCCTCGGAGGAAATGCCGGTCGCGTTTGCGCGCGACTCCTGGAGAGGAGCAGCAAGTTTTGACGACGGGGCTGGGTCAAAAAAACCAAACAAGTCAATCAAAGTCGGGCAATCGCGCAAGCAATGGATTCAACTGTAAGGAATGTCCTTTATGGGTGGCTGTGTGTGTCTCTCCAGTTCATGCACCAAATCGAGAATGCCCCACCTTCATCTTAGAATCTCAGAAGTAATGCGCAGGCGGTGCCTTCAGCAGGCTGAGCCAGTCGAACCATGAAAAGCCGTCGTCGGCATCCTGCTCCTGGCGTAATTGGGAAGCAATACACGCCAAGGCAAGAGCGGCTCTCTGGATGCAAAGCTTTTGCTGTGGGAATGTGGCTACCTGGCTGCCACTATCATGCGAGCCTCTTCCTTCGGTGTGATTGCCTTCGGAGTGCTGGTGGTCGTTCGAGTGCGGCCCTGGTAGCTACACCATCCCCGCAAGAAGTGAGGCAAAACTCCATGCCTGTGTCGTATTGGCAGACTTGTCCGAATGCTCCGAATGGCCAATCTTCAGAGCTGCCTGGAGCTAGTGCGCTCCAAACGCTTCGCTTGCCGAAATGAGCTGACGGGGAGTAAGGACGCAGAAAGAACGACCTTTTGCGCATGACCTGCGGTTGGCCGAGGGCCTGGGCCCTGGGCCGTACCTGTGGCCGGTGGAGCGCCTCTGGTCCAAGCCGAACCCTTTGTATCCCTTTGTCACCATCATCCTTGAGATGATTTGCATGCTGTACACTTGTTGCAGGATCGATGTACCGCGAATCTGCAAACTTCACATGCAGGGCCAGTTTAGTGTAGTATGAGCAGCTGTCAAGAAAGAATCGCAACCCTGCGCTGATTCTGGGCCATCACCTGGTGGCATGTTGTCGAACTGGCGTTTTGCCAGAATATGTCAATCTACAGGGACATGTTGCACTGCAAGACAATTGAAAATATCAAATCAAATGAAGCCGGCGGCTTGCAGAGTTGAGAAAACCCGTCCGACAAATCCTTGCCTTTAGACGGCTGGCTTTACTTGAAGTGAGCAAAGACTAAAGACTAAAGAAGGCTTCTTACATCATTCTGCAGGGATCTAAAAACATCAAAACCAGAAACCCTCTCGGCGACTTTGAGACGCCCGTGCAGTTAAAACGAATTGACTTTGAAGCGCGCTGCTTCTTCGGTAAACAGGATTAAACCAGGATCACGCACTCCGCTCCTCCCACCGAGGAATCGGACTTCAACTGACTTCCAGGAGGCGTGTTGACCCTACGTATCTACGCGAGATCCGCGGTTCTTTCAGACACACGCTTCCCTCCTTCACTTTGATAGCTGGTTAACGATGACATGGCCTGCAACAGGGCTTGTTATAGCAGCAGATAGCTCGGCCTTCGCACATCTGCGACCATCGATTCTGGCGCAGAAAAATCTTCCAGGCTGCGCTGCTTACATTGCACCGCTAATTAGTAGTGCGATTATGGCTTGCTTTGGCATGCTACATCCGGCCTGGACTTCCTGACGTCTTGTAGCCAAGGCGGTGCGAATCTGCCGTGCAGCTTTGGCCTTCCCCGGGTCTTTGCAAGGACATCAAGCTGCAAGTGCCCGTGCCTTTGGTGTGTTAGCTCCGGGTTACGAAGAGATGGTTTAAGGTGCTGGGCTTCGGGAAAGAGTTTCAGCTATCTTCCCGTCCTTGCTCTTGGTGACCAGGTAAGTCTGATGCTCGTGACCGTCCAGGTGAGCCTCGAAAAAAGCCTAAACCTTGCGCCCTGCAGCAGCCCTCAACACGGCCACCGGTCAGGCCCCGCCGCCCTGCTTCGGCGCATGGACAACCAAGGGACAATACGATGCTCAAAGTCGTAGTCATGACCTCCCTCGTCTAACCATGTTCTCGTTGATTGACCTTACTTCTAGATCCAAGCGGTAAAGCCGGTAAAGCCATAGAGAGCATCAATGAGAAGTGCACATCAGAGATTCCTTGCCGAGCGGCTGATCTGAACTTTGCCGGGTACCCCGGTGCTCTCCATGAGGTTGGCGAATTCCACTGCCGGACCAAAGAGATGGTATCGGGGTCCTGCAGAAAGCATCAAACTTCGACAATGTGATGCTCGCATCTGACAGCCACGATGACAAGGCAGCATCGCTGCGAACATCAGTGTGTCTCTATGGATGCTCCGTATTGCAGTCGCCGTCGTAGTGGTGGTGGTGGTGGTAGTAGTCGTAGTAGCAGT